CTGAAACATCTGACTGTCCAGATGGTTGCATTCTCAGCTGACAGATGTTTGGACAATTTGGTGCTAAAGCAAATAGCAAATAGCAAATAGCAAAAAGTTATGAAACTAAGTGTTAAAAGTTGAATAGGTGTTGGAATGGGACTGTGTATCATGGCTCAACTTCTTTTTCAGCTTATAACTCTTGGACACATATTGTGGAAGCTGGACTGGGATATTGTTTCTAAGATTAGAAGTAAAATTCCTAGATTCCATCTCCTTCAGGGAACATCATGCAGAGCATATAAAGAACAGTGGCCTCGGCAATATACGTGGCCTTTTCTTGTCACCAATGTCAGAAGGCTAGCATGCGTGACTGAAGGACAGGGCCCATGGCAACCAATATCTTTCGTTGTCATGCATCAGACTACAGTAATATCTTGGTTCCTGGTTCCCAGAAATCTCCTGGTTTCCAGGGAAGGCAATGTTTTGCAAAGACAGATACCTTCCCGGAAGTCCCAGACACTAGTGGTGGAAGCTGGGCTAGAGCATGGATTTGGACTGCAGGCCTAACCCAACCTGCAGAGGCTTTCCACAGATGCTTTGGTTCCCTCTATGTGGCCCTCCTGTTCCTTCCCTAAGGCTCTTACCCCTGTGAGCACCATCTCCTGGCCTGGAGGCTACCCTTGCTATTCCATGATTTATGACATCCAAGGGATTCTCCGATGCACTATCCTTACTTGCACCTAGACTGGACTGCTGCAGTGCCTTCTATGCAGGCCTGCCAGAAATGACCAATGATACACAATGCAGTTTCCAGAGCAGGTTTCTTCAGCGACTGCTCGCACTTGCATAAACCTGTCCAAGCTCCAGAGATCCTGCTGGATGGCCTTTATCTGTGGGAGATTCAACTGGTAGGTACCATGGACAGGGTCTTCTCTACAGCGATCCTGGAATTGTGGAATTCCTGTCCCATGGAGATCCACCAGGCTGGTCCACTTCTAGGTGAGCTTTGACAACAGTTTTATTCCACCAGATATTTAATGTATGTTTTCACTGCTAAATTGTTCTAATTGCTGCTAATTAGTTTTATAGAATATTTTATTAGTAAGTTATTGTGATCTGGGCTTTAGTTTTTGTTCCTGTAATTTTAATTTTGGGTGCTGCATTGTGCATTTAAAATTAGATGAAAAGAAGCTGAAAAAAGAATAAACAAGCAAACAAAAAACCTAAACACATAAAATGGATGGGAAATATCAAGTCCATTTTCTTTTTTGTTTCAATACCAGTATTTATGAAATAGAGACAGTCAAAGCAGCCACTTAATTACTGTGTTCAGTTAATATTTTATCTGACTCCAGTAACTGACTGGGAGACCATGGGAAGAACTAAGGCAGGACTACGGATAACATAAGTGTGCTTGCTAATATATTGGTGTACTGCAGTATTTGACTAGATACATCCTCAGACAGTGGATAATTTACCATATTTATTATTTTTGAATACTTATGTTGACTAAGCTTTCTTCTCATTGCACTCCATTAAACCAGCAATGTATGCCCTGCATATTTCTCGTTCCCCCACTTTCTCTTAAAGAAGTTGACATCGTGCTTCTACTGTGACAACTCCAGAGTTAATGTTATCTCTCTTCAAGTAAAGTATGATGACAGTTTGTCTCTCATTTATCATGGAATAGAAAAAGTCCACAATTATTAGGCATATAAGAATTTTTTCTAATGAAGATGATCTGCCTATGAGCCATAATCATACCATTAGTTTGGGGTACTGGAAGAATATACCAGGTGAATCTCTCTTAATAAGGACCAAAATAGGCAACAAATCCCAGAAAAACAAACAAAAAGTGCTCATTACAAGTACAGTCAGTGAAGCCTATTAGAGATTGAATGTCTCTTACAAGACCATGTAAATGAGAAGATATATAAGGTAAATCACTGTTTTATATGATGGAAAGGTCATTTCTAAATGGAAATAAGATTATTTATACTCTAATTACTTTCTAAAATTGCCAGGCTAAAAATGTTGGCAGAATTTTTTTGGCATACTTTTCTAGGAATAAATCCTATTCAACTCAGTGCATAGACTGGTCCATGCGTAGACTTGTCCTGCCAGTACATGAAATGTACATGCAGTTTAGTCAAGGAGTCCATGCAATAATGAAGTTCACATAACACTGTTGTAGCAACTCATGATGTTATTCAAGTATTTGAAAACCATTTCTAACAACGATTGGAGTTGCATGACAGGCTTCAAGCCATGGTAGCTTAGATGCTTCCTGAACATGGATGGTTTTGTCAGGGTGATTTTATTTCAGCTCATAACCCACGCCAACAAGCCACAGCTCGATGTACAGTTTGCTTGCCCCATGGTGGCTTGCTGCAGCATTGCCCCACCACCGGCAAACCGAACCGCCACGGAGCCGCTTAGCAAGAATGGGAAAAACATCTTGCTGCATTTGCCAATCAGCTAGTGGATGGCTACCATTGCATTGCTTGGGGTCAGCTGGCAAAGGCTTCCCCACCTCCCTCCCTGCAACTGCTCTGAGCCATTTTGTGCTTGCAACAGAACAGTGTGACGTTTTGTTATCAAGCTGGGCTGTTAAGGCCTCTTTTGCAGCCCTGGTGGGGGTATCCATGAGCACCCCTTCAAGGACATTGGTTGGGAAACACACAGCGTACATCCCAAAAAGCAGCAGTGGAGCACTTTGCAAAATTCACTCTGGAGGTGCTTGGGGGGAAATGGACAAAGGGGGGTGGCAAGTGCCCTTAGCAGCAGAATCCTGGGGTTTGGGGCAGGGTGCTCATGTACCCCTGGGCTGCCCTCACTCTTCTAAGTGTGCATAACCCAAGAACACAACCACCCCCCACAAGATATCCAAGGATCAAGCCAAAAATAGCATTTTGGGGTAGGTGCATTTTACAGATAGAGGCCTCCCTCCTGTCACTGGGAACCCCTGCCAGTTTTGCAGGTTCCCCCCATGCTAACAGTAGGGGGACACTTGAAAATGGGGGCAGGGGGATTACGGACACTGGATCTCTCCCCAGAAGCCAGAATATTGTACTGCAAAATGGTGGGAACAAAGTGCAATTTCATTTTACAGGAAACTGCCAGTACTGCCCTGTCGAATCTAACAGCTCCCGGCAGGTTCCAGGGCAAAGAAGGTGCACTGCATGGCTTGTTCTACAGTGCGACTTGTTGGGACATGAGGCTCCACCCAATATTTGCTGTCCTTGTACCAGATACTACCTTTTAGGGAGCAACTGGCTCTTATCAAATAGATACTCACTGTTTTCATTAATTCAACAAACTATGCATACACTGTTTTTAAGGCAGAAAAAAAGGTGTGCAAATCCCAGCATGCCCCGGGGTGTTATAGGGTGTTCAGTCTAAACATACATGGCTTGCATCCCAAATTTTCTTAATTGTTCAGGTTAGCTATTTCCACCTAGCTTTACATCAAGGAGGATAACAAAGGATACCTGAAGGAGCGCCTTCTTCCCTATGTGCCCTCCCGCCTTTGAGATCTGAGGTGGAGGTCCTGCTCCGGGAGCCCTCCTTGAAGGAGATTAGGAGCGTGATTACCCAGAGGAGGGCCTTCTCTGTGGCCACCCCAACTATTGGAATACACTCCCCAGAGAGGTTTGCCTGGCACTGATGTTATATTCTTTTCAGCATCAGGCAAACCCCTTTTTATTTTTCCACTATTTTAATGTGTAATTGATTTTAACAGGGGTTTTAGTATAGTAATAGTCAGATGCTTTGGGGTATTCTACTTATTTATTGCAAGTTGTCCTGAGACGTTGTAGGGGATGGGATAGAAAAGCTTTTAACAAACAAACAAACAAACAAACAAAGTAAATGCTGAAAGTAAATTACAATAATTCTGCAACCCTAAATGCCTCACAGACTCCCTGAAGAAAGGATGACCAGAGTGTGCTGCAAAGAAGCACAAAAGAAGAATGCTTGGAGATTTAAGTTGATACAGAAGGCGAGGAGAAAGCTTCACATTTTAACCAGCCTCTAGTGTGGTGCCATCCCTAACTGGGTAATGTTTAAAGTGTACAAAATCTAGGTATGGACTGAAAAATTAAAGGTTTAATTAATTTATAAATATTTAGCAATTTAATCCTGTGGGAAGTGTTTTCAAACAGTTATAAATGTTGGACTAAATCCCGTTGATCCAATATCTTAGATGCTGTTGAAAATATACTATACAATTTAATTCTCAAAAATAAAATTAGAATTGATGGGAAATTTCCAAAATTACATTGAAAACTATCTCTTTCAAATTCCTCCTGGGTGGTCTAGAATGGAATGCTTAATTTTATAATCTTCTCACCACTGACAAAACGGTGGAGCTGCAGTGTTGAGCCATGTCGCAAGTGAATATCTGCACTGTTCAAAACTTAGCAGCAATCTTTCCCATTGAGATAGAAAAGGTCTTGCACCTCCAGAATCTCCCAGTCAGCCATGCCAGCTGGAGGATGCTGGCCCTTGGGAGCTGGGAGAGTTTTTCTGTCTAAACAAAATACAGCTGGATTCTAAAATAAGCTGCAGGTCTGTCTGGGGGATACTCTTCACCCACTCAACTCCATGCACAATGCATCTGGGCATAAAGCAAGTTTTGGCATTGTTCATATAGACCTACCACATGCAAAATGCAGTGCTTGCTGCCTATACCGGGTCTCCTGGCACATAATTATATTCTGTGATGAGGGGCAAGGTGTGAACCAAAGAGCTAATACGCTTAATCCACTCGGAGATGAAGGGGACCAGTTTTCAAACACAAGCCCACTAACTTTAGACAAAGGTTGAAATCTTTTAGGAATGCTTCCACTTTTTAAAATGGAAATGCACATCAGCATTGATATATACACATATGATTCTAGGATGTAAAAACCCCCATGCCTTGACTCTTCTCAAGCCTGCTCCATTGATTTTTACAGTGTAAGAACACCAATTCAGTTTTTCACTGCAACTCATGAGGTCATAGGCAGGAATCTTACCTTCTCTCCTGGATAACCAGGGATGCCATCTTCTCCTTTAGCTCCTTCTTCACCCTTTAAAATAAATTATATACACATTTGTCCTGTTGTCAAAGACTGAAGTTATTTAAGAAGCCATTTAAGCTCCTCCAAATGTTTACTTCTGCTTTAAATTGGTTTTATGTTATTATTTCAGCTAAATATGAATGGCAAAATAGAACCACAAGCAGAAAGAGAGAGAAAGATGGCCACAGAACAAATGAGAAATACATACTGCATGGACTATGAATTAAAAAGCAAATTAAGGCTTGAAGCTGAAAATCTACACTGGCTTTTCTACCAAATCATTATGCAAAAAATGTAATTCACTCTCTCATTTAGTATATGACATAGAAATCATACTCCTTGGCAAATGCATGTACCAGTCTCAAAGATCTTTGATTAGAGCACAGTGGAGGAAAGAACATTTCCATTTGCCAATTTTAATTTACAAACTGCATGAGCTCCAATGATAACGTGCATTCATGGCAGGGCATTGCTCAGTATTGAATATATTATTACTCCAGTTTGTAAGAATTTAGTGCTGGCATAACAAAGCTTTATTATTGAAATGGCATATAAAATCCACTGTGCTTAATGCCTGGCCTTTGTGCAATAATAATAATAATGCCTACCAAATACTGGCTTTGAAATTGGAAATGAGGCCCATGTGTTTATAAGTCTTCTGATCAATTTTGCAAAACAGACATTTTTAAAAGCCCACTTACAATTTCAATTCATATATTCAAGCTTTGGAAAGAATATGTAAGTAACCCAAGCTCCATTGACTTCAGGGATTAAACAGCCTGAGGATGTGGAACACTGTCAGCTAATGAACTAATAATATTATACGCTTCACTGATGAAACATTAAAGACCTGAAATTAAAGGAAAACAGGAAAGCAATATTCTAATACACAATAACGATGAACCAGATATGCCTGCCTTTGAATGCATAAATATATATGTTTTGTTAGCTTTATGAAACTAATCTGACTCTGAAGGCACTTCTTGTGTGATATATGCTATATTCCTCCTCTTTACTGCTGGACATTATTGAGAAGGTCCTATCATGTGTTATTCTAATATATGGAATAACCTATTCACAATGCTTGCTTAAAGTGGAATACCAAGTGGCTGAATTAGGTGTGAGCATTCAAAAAGAAACGGGCTTTGTTGTTCGCTTTCAATGTTGCGTGCACTGCCTCGGGATCCTTTCTGAATGAAGGGCTCTTTACAAATGTTAGAAATGAATACAGCAAAATAAATAATCAATTGTCACTGGATACTGCTTCCTGTTTCCGCCTTTATGGTCATAACTGCAGTGCAGTCTGTGCACATGAAAGCTACCACACCACAATGGCTGTGTTTGAAAGCCACACTAAACCAGTGAATGGGAATCCTTCTTGACCGAGGGGTGACACCGCCCCAGTGGCAACTCATGAGAAGCCACATGCCTCCTGTGGGTGGAGCCAAACCCCAAACTGAGAATAGGAAAATACCCAACTGGATGCTCTCTTTCACACACAGCTCTCGCACACATGGATGCATCGTTCAAGCACACCACTGGCCCTCTGCCTCATACCAATAAAGTAGGTTCAGCTGTGATGGGAAGATCATGGGCAGGGGTGGTTTAAGCCCATGGTCTCTCCCCAACTGTTTCCCCATTGTGAAATGGAAAGAGAGAGCAGTCCAGGAAAAGGTTGCCCTCTTCCTGAAGCACCATGGAAAAGGAGCCCTTTTCTCAGTGCATGGAAAGGAATCATTGGAAAACTGCCAGAGCTGTTCCTTCAGAAGTGGCTGCTTCAAGGAGCTCCAGGTCACCTTTCAACTTTCTCATGAGGAAAGGTGAGGAAGGATGCCTTCAGGAACCACCGCTCCTGAATGCTCTAGGTGCCCAAGGAGGCAGCTCCCAACTGAGCTGGCCTCCATCCTTCTCCATGAGGTGGAGTGCCATGGAGGGGCCTTGGCAGGCCAGATGGAGGATTCTGGTAGGCTGGATGCAGCCCATGGAGCAAAGGCTCCCCACCACTGCGCTAAATCATTGCTTGTCATCACAATGACAACCTAACTCCCTCTTAGAATTGTGCATCCCCAGCTTCTCTTTCCTTCTCTGTTGAGGAGAACACCAGCAGCTTCTCCTTCTGGTTTAGATTAGTTGGAGTTAAGTGCGTCATCCAAACCTAAACAGTGGCTGTTATTATTCAGTAAAAGCATTCCATCTTCATAAACTATGACTCAGAAATGGTTTGTTCCCACTAATCACAGCAAGATTAACCTCAGTTTATTTGGATTTGGGCAACACAGCAAGCTGCGGTTAAACAAAATTGAACGCAAACGCCGGATGCAAATCCCTCCTCATGGATACAGCAAGGGAGAAGGAAGCACCCGGGCTTGGTGAGAGGCTAGCCTAGCCAATGCAACAAACATTCCATCAGGAATGGGATCTCAGAAGAGGTCTTGTGCTTCTGAAATGTCCACTTCTTCTGAACATCCACATATCCCGCAATTAAGTTGCACCCGGCCCTAACATTCCATAATTCCTTAGAAAACAATTTTCCTGAGTTCTTTGTGAACATTGCTTGTACGCTCAAATTTTATTTTGTGACACATTTAAAGATTTTTGACTATTGGGCAGTCTAGCAATGCCATAAATAAAAATAATTAAAATATACCTGCTCTATGCTCTGCTGTAACTTAAGTGTTAAACAGTAGGAGAGCAATTGAGATTTGAGACATTATCTTAGATGCTATTGAACCATACTGTGCGAGTAAAGATAATTACAATGAGTGAGCTCAATAGCTGGCTGTGAGAAGGAAGATGGGGGGGGGGGGTGGTTAGAAAGCCTCCCGAGCCAAGCAACTGCCCATGAAGCTGAAGGGGTAGTTGGAGCATAATCTCCTCTCCTCACCATGTCTAGCAGCAGATGCAGCATATAAATGATGAAAAGCAGATAGCCAAGGCACGAAGTTCGCATTCTCTAAAACTAAGGCATTTCCTCTGGTCATTTTTTTGCATGCACTAAATTGTCTCCACAAGTGTTATCCTGCAGCTTTTATACCTGTCTCCTTCCAATTACAGCATGCATTCAAAGGGCTGCACCTGTAAAATCCAGCTGGCAACACTTGTTTCTTGGCATGTGAGCAGGGGGGTGAGGAAATCAAGCAAAACAAGCTGCACGTGCTGCACTCCATGCAGACATTCAGATTCAGTGAATGGAAGTAATGAGTCCATTCAATAACACTTCCCACTGGAAGAGTTCTGGAGGCAGGCATGTGAAGGTGCTTGAGTCACCAGCGGTGGGACGACATCCTAGCAATGCTGCAAGCGAGTGCCACTAGCACTAAGGGGAGGAAGAGGATGGCGAGAGCAGGAGTGACTCCTGCCAGAGTCTCTGCCTGCCATGGAATGAGCGTCACATCACACCTCACTTCCTGCGTTTCCAGCTATTTTAAGAGAGCTCCAAGCCACTTTGTTGTCCCCCCTGGGTATTTTTACGTGCCGCACACCCCAAATTCATGCAGCTGTATGTCAGCTACTCATATAATTGTTTTTCAGAAAGACTCAAGTATGTCTAACTTATTAACTAGAAACCATGCTAAATATACACAGCTGCTTCACAGCAATAAATCAGCTTTTCTCTCTAAGTCTGTAAGATAACAATGTGCTGTAACATATGAGGTTATGAAGTGATGCCTGCATCATGCAATTGCCAGTTTAATAGATGGAAGGAGAAGTCAAACAAGCTAATGTATTCCCTGTAGTCTGTACCTAGATAAGTTCTTATTCTCCTAAGAATTTTCTTTTACCACAATTCAGGTTAGATGATATTTCATCAAGCCGTGCATAAACTGTGTAGCACCGTATGGTAAATTCTCAAACTTCTTCAAACATATTTTATTTTATTTTGTTTTGTTTCATTTTACTTCGATGCCTCCCTTAACCCGAGGACTCTCTGGGTGGCTCACAGATGCTGAACCAGCACAAAAAAGAGATAAAAGCAGTAAAATTAATAAAATATTAAAATGTGTCCCAACATAATAAATATACAAAACCATATATGACATATCCAGGCATAACCAAATAAATTAATACAATCAAAATTAAATAATCATCAACGAAGGACAATTTAAATTAACCAAATGCTTGCTAGAACAAAACGCGGGCTTTTTTCAGTCTGCTTGTTAGTCCTTTAGTATAGCTCTTGCCCATCCATACAGTTTACTTCTATTTCATAGTAGAAACTAGGAGATGCTCCTAATCCTTTAATGTGACTCTTGAGCTCACCGTATATTCTCAACATAATCTGTACTGCTGCATAAGCTGCTTCCCATCCTTGGGGACAAAAATTAGTAACAACAATAATGATTATTCAGCAAAATGTACTAAAACAGCAGAAATAGAAGTGAAAAATTCAACTTTAAAATATACAGGCCAACAAGTTGTTTCCAGCCCTAGGAATATATGCCTTCCGAAATGCCCTGGCCACGACGGGCCTGCTCAGCTCTTGCAAACGGCAGGCTGGAAATTCTGGAATCAATCCATCAGCTATTTGGCTTCCCTGCCTTCTTCTGCCCTCATCTTTCCCTGGCATGATTGTCTCCTCCAGTGGTATTGCCTTCTCATGATGCACCTGAAGTACAAAAGTTTCAGTGTTGTCATTTTTGCCTCCGGGAAAGTGGTGGCTTGATTTGATCTAGAACCCATTTGTGCATCTTTCTGTTTGACAAACTCTCCTCCAGCACCATGATTCAAGCATGTCCATTTTCTTCTTGTCAGTTGCCTTCACTGTCCAGCTTTTACTCTCATATCAACTGATTGGGAATACGATATATGTGGATGTCCCTGCACTTGATTATCTTTCCTTGTTCCTTCTTTGCTGCCCTTCCAAGTCTCAGTCTTCTAATTACTTGGTTGCAATCTCCATTTAAATTGGTGGTTGGGCTAAAATCTTTCAAGTCTTTCACATTTTGATCTTTTCATTGTTGACATTAAAGTTAATTTTTCTGTAGTCATGATTTCTGGTTTCTTAATGC